TGAATCGATTCAGAATAATATATCGATCAGGGTATTTTTGATATACCGTGTAATTTCTAATCTAGCGAAGAAAGATTGATCGACACGATGTGTGTTAGGAAACCTGTTAAAGTTGTGAAGAGACTGGAGAATAAGATGGTAATAGAGATAGGTATATTTTGAATAATAAGATGGGTTGTAGAAGAATATTGCGTTGAAGGAAGTGACAAATTGTTCTTGATGGGGCGGTTGCACGCAATTGATTTTAGAATAATCCCATTCCTCGCAAATTTCGACTGGGTCGCGTGCTCCTGGTCAAAATCAAGTTCGAGACACGCGAGGACTTAGAGGCGAAACTCGGCGAGGAGCCGAAAGTACTAAATTTAGTCGGAAAAATCGATTTTCAAGGCACTTCCTGTTTTGTCCACCTCGGGATTTTCCGACGAGGGGTCACAAGAGGGAATTGCATAACGCTAGGAAGCAGGGTGTCCCGAAACACCAAGTATATCACATGCCGTTCCAGTAATTTACATAATTCAACTAAACACCTTGTGTAAAAGATTACTTTGAAGAAAGAAACTGGCATAAGTGGCGGAGGATGAGGGAAAGCGGGTCTGCATTGCACAATTCATTGTTACGCTTTGTAATAATTACTAGGCGAGAAGTGTACAACTTGAAAGTCCCATTATTAAGCCGTTTTTCGAGTTTGAAACTGACGAGGTCTACTACGGACAAAATTTACACCACGCCGTGTACAATCCAGTCGATTTTTTTGTTTCGGGACTTTTCCGGATCTGTCGAAAGGCGGAAAATGGGATTGAAAAATCGTTTGTCGGCAAGTAGGTCGTCGAGCTATCTGCCATCTGAAGTGGGCACGCGAGCACGTAGACCCTCGCCATCGTCGGAGAAACATCGTCGGATCCGCTGACAGCCCGGCTGAGAAATTGAACGGTGTTAAATGTGTTGAAACGTTTCGAAAACTACGTGAGGTGGATGGAAGTTCGTCGATCAAAGTCGATGGCATCTTAAGACCTCACAGCTTTCCAATGAATGTCATTGCTATTTCCTGTTTCTGGTTTCTTGGGAAGGTTTTTTTTTTGTATAAAGCACTCTTCAACACGGAATGTTTTAATTTCATTACTCTATGGCATCATGGGAGAGTGAGAGAGAGAGAGAGAGAGGGAGAGGGAGAGAGGGGTGAGAGAGAGAGAGAGAGAGAGAGAGAGAGAGAGAGAGAAAGAATATTTTATTCAAAGAGTAGACCTTCCTAAGAATAATAATAAGCTCACAAAATTTTTGTAAATCTGGCACCTGAATTAAGAAGGAAAGTAGAATCTCCAAAGAATGACAATAAACTCACAAAAATTTGTATATATCTGGCACTTGAATTGTGAAGAAAGTTTCCCAAAGAAAAACAATAAGTTCACAAAATCCTCATAAATCTGGCATTTGAATTAAGAAGTACAACTTCATAAAAAACGATTTTTCCTTTTTGTATAAAGCACTCTTTAACAGGAAATGTTTCCTTATTCTATGGCATCTTGAGAGAAAGAAAGAGAGAGGAAATAGTTAGTTTATTTTAGGAGTAGATTCCCCAAAGAATAAAAATAAGCCCACAAAATCCTCATAAATCTGGCACTTGAATTAAGAAGGGAAGTAGAGTCCCCAAAGAATAACAATAAGCTCACAAAATTTGGATAAATCTGGCACTTGAATTAAGAATGGAAGTAGAGTCCCCAAATAATAACCATAAGCTCACAAAATCCTCATAAATCTGGCACTTGAATTAAGAAGGGAAATAGAGTCCTCAAAGAATTAAAATAAGCTCACAAAATTTGAATAATCTGGTACATGAATTAAGAAGGAAGTAGAGTCCCCAAAGAATAACAATAAGCTCACAAAATTTTTGTAAATCTGGCACATGAAGAATTAAGAAGGGAAGTATAATCTCTAAAGAATAACAATAAGCTCACAAAATTTTGTACATATATCTGGCACTTGAATTGAGAAGAAAGTAGAGTCCACAAAGAAAAACAATAAGTTCACAAAATCCTCATAAATCTGGCATCTGAATTAAGAAGGACATCTTCACAAAAAACGATTTTTCCTTTTTGTACAAAGCACTTTTTAACAGGAAATGTTTTCTTATTCTATGGCATCTTGAGAGAAAGAGAGAGAGAGAGAGCAAATAGTTAGTTTATTTTAGGAGTAGAGTCCCCAAAGAATAAAAATAAGCTCACAAAATCCTCATAAATCTGGCACTTGAATTAAGAAGGAAGTAGAGTCCCCAAAGAATAACAATGAACTCAAATTTGTATAAATCTGGCACATGAATTAAGAAGGAAGTAGAGTCCCATAAGAGAAACAATAAGCTCACAAAATCATCATAAATCTGGCACTTGAATTAAGAAGGGAAGTAGAGTCCCCAAAAGATAACAGTAAGCTAAAAAAATTACATAAATCTGGCACATGAATTAAGAAGGAAGTAGAGTCCCATAAATGAAACAACAAGCTCACAAAATCCTCATAAATCTGGCACTTGAATTAAGACGGAAGTAGAGTCCCCAAAGATTAACAATAAGCTCACAAAATCCTCATAAATCTGGCACTTGAATTAAGAAGGAAGTAGAGTCCCCAAAGAATAACAATAAGCTCACAAAATTTGGATAAATCTGGCACTTGAATTAAGAAGGGAAGTAGAGTCCTCAAAGAATTACAATAAGTTCACAAAACCTCATAAATCTGGCATTTGAATTAAGAAGGACAACTTCACAAAAAACGATTTTTCCTTTTTGTAGAAAGCACTCTTTAAACGTTTCCTTATTCTATGGCATCATGAGAGAAAGAGAGAGAGAGAGGGAGCGAATAGTTAGTTTATTTTTGGAGTAGAGTCCCCAAAGAATAAGAATAAGCTCACAAAATTTGTATAAATCTGGCGCTTGAATTAAGAAGGATAACTTCACAAAAAAGGTTTTTCTTTTTGTCTAAAGCACTCTTCAGTTTCATTAATGTTTTTTAAGCTATGGCATCATGGCGGAGAGGGAGTGAGAGAGAGAGAAAATATTTTATTCTAGGAATATAGTCTCCTAAGAATAACAATAAGCTCACAAAATCCTCATAAATCTGGCACTCGACTTAAGAAGGAAGTAGAGTCCCCAGAAAATAACCATAAGCTCACAAAATTTGGATAAATCTGGCACTTGAATAAAGAAGGGAAGTAGAGTCCCCAAAGAATAACAATAAGCTCACAAAATTTGTATAAATCTGGCACATTAATTAAGAGGGAAGTAGAGTCCCATAAGTGAAACAATAAGCTCACAAAATCCTCATAAATCTGGCACTCGACTTAAGAAGGGAAGTAGAGTCCCCAGAAAATAACCATAAGCTAAAAAAATTACATAAATCTGGCACATGAATTAAGAAGGAAGTAGAGTCCCATAAATGAAACAACAAGCTCACAAAATCCTCATAAATCTGGCACTTGAATTAAGACGGAAGTAGAGTCCCCAAAGATTAACAATAAGCTCACAAAATCCTCATAAATCTGGCACTTTAATTAAGAAGGGAAGTTGGGTCCCCTAAGAGTAACAATAAGCTCACAAAATTTGTATAAATCTGGCACATGAATTAAGAAGAATAACTTCACAAAAAAGTTTTTTCTTTTTGTATAAAGCACTGTTCAGTTTCATTAAGGTTTTTTTAAGCTATGGCATCATGGGGGAGAGGGAGAGAGAGAGAGAGAGAGAGAGAGAGAGAGAGAATATTTTATTCTAGGAATAAAGTCTTCTAAGAATAACAATAAGCTCACAAAATTTTTACAAATCTGGCATATTTATAAAATCCGCAATGAATTCTGTGAGTAGAACCATGATTTATAAAAAGTTTAAAAATTCTATACTGTTTAAAAATGTTGACAGCTTAGCATATCAAAAAAACTTTTATATAACATATGAATGAACATATGAATAACATATGAAATATTTGTCAAATAAAGGGCTTTGTCATCTCAGCCTTTTTCACAAGCTTTTGATTATATTTAGCCCGGATAAAATTTACAGACGCCTGTGGCATCTTTGAAATCTTATTTTAAATGATGTAGATGGTTTTGTGAAAAATCTGCCTTCAAAAACTACTCTTTGATGCTTCGGGGTATTTCTCATCTCAGCCTTTTTGACAAGCTTTCTGTACCCGAATAAAATCTGCAGGCCTGATTATCTCAAATGATTCTATTGTATATTTACCATGTGTGCAAGGCGTCTATTAGATCTTAGTATGCACCTTTGATACTGAGATTTCTCAGTTTTTCTTCTGTTGGGCAATTAATTTACATACAACTTTTATCTATCCGCCCTTCCTGAATAGCAAAAATTAAAATCTGTTCCATCTTTCCTTCGACATCACCTCAATTTCTTTTACAACTGGCCTTGTGACTTCACCGGTTTATAAACAACAGTACGTTGTCCTTAGCTGGATCAAAATTGATCTAATCAGGTCCGTTTGTTCTCGCTGTTTGCCCTTGACCAGGTGGAAAACTACTCCGCCGGCGGTTAGGAGGCTGACGGTCAAAACTGTCAGTTCGGGTAGAGAAACAGCTCAATTAAAATCTCGTCATCTTTCCTATTTGAAAAAAAAAAATCGAGGACAAGCGGATTTACAACAAACTCTAACTTTTCACTTATTAGATTAATTATTTAAATTATAAAAGATTTCGTACTGTGTTTGTTTTTATTGGTACGTTTTGTCCCCTTTGGCACGATAACAAGGGCAGAAGACGGAAACGGACTTTTTTTTTTTGTTCGATTCAGATTAATGCCTATGGCGGTTTTACAGTTACGCCTGACATAGAAACAGGAAGTTGTGAGTTCAAATCACGTCTGGATCACGATTCTAGGATTCGTTGAAAGCCGCGGACGTGTCAGTTTTATTTATTTCATTTAAGACAAAAAAAAGAAAGTATACTACAATATTTATCAAGTGGCGTCTTCGTTTTCGTAACTAAACCTTGGCTTTGATTGTTTCAGGATGATTGATCTGTGATGGTCGGGACATTAGTGATGCGTCGTCATCAGGACCAGGCGTTAAACCCGGTCCACTTCTACCCAACTCAGGTGAGAAAAGTTCTCAGTTTTCTAAAAAATATCAAAACGAATCAAACACTATTGGCTTGGGAGCCAAATAAAATTGGCAGTTTTGTCCTTAGGACAAACAGAAACTTGACGCTTTGGTTGGTTGAAATATCCAAAGGACTTTTGGAGAAGTTTTGTTTATTGTTAATTCGCCCGAAAGTTCACAAGTTTACTCCTTCTCAAACCCTTTTCACCAAAAACCCATAGAAACAAACTTTACACTTTTGGTATTCTTCAAATGACAACCTAACAAAATGAACTTTGCACATTCGATCAGGAATATAATCGAACTTAACATTTTTGGTGGGGATTTTAATGGCAAAGTATCCGATCATGATTGGCCTTTCAATTGCCATTTTGGTCAGGGTAAAAACGAACTACACTTTTTCTCCAATTACGAACAATCCAAATAAACTTTACTGTTTCCTTTAATATTTAAGCGAGGAATACTAACAAATTTAACACTTTTGCTGTGTTTTTCTATCCAAACAAACTATGCCTTTCATTTGATTTTGTTCAGGATACAAACAGCTTTACACTTGTGTTTCTTCAAATGACAAATAATCCAAACAGACTTTGCTATTTTTCCAACGACGAGCAATACGAACAAACTTTACACTTTTTTCCCAATTACGAACAATCCAAGGAAACTTTACAGTTTCCTTTAATGTTTTGTCCAGGAATACAAACAAACTTTACATTTCCAATGACGAACAGTTACTAACAGACTTTACACTTTTTCCTAGGAATAAAAACCAACCTACACTTTTTATGTGTTTTTCGATCCAAACGACGGAATAATTCCAACGACGAACAGTACTAACAGACTTTACAGTTTATTTTTACAAATGATGATGAACAATGCGAACAACTTTACACTTTTGGAATATTTCCAACTACAAACAGTACTAACAGACTTTACACTTTATTTTTACAAATGATAAATTGTAAAAAAAAGAACTTCACACTTTAGCTATCCTCCCTATGACGAACAAACTTTACATTTTTTCCCAATTACGAACAATCCAAGTAAACTTTACAGTTTCCTTTAATATTTTGTCCAGGAATGCAAACAAACTTTACATTTCCAATGACGAACAGTTACTAACAGACTTTACACTTTTTTCCTAGGAATAAAAACAGACCTACACTTTTGATGTGTTTTTCGATCCAAACAATCTATCTCTTTCCTTTGATATATTGGTCAGGATACAAACAACTTTACACTTTTGTTTCTTCAAACGACAAACAATCCAAACAAACTTTACTATTTTTTCCAATGATGAGCAATGCGAACAACTTTACACTTTTGGTATATTTCCAACGACGAACACGTACTAACAGACTTTACACTTTATTTTTACAAATGATAAATTGTAAAAAAAGAACTTCACACTTTAGCTATCCTCCCTATGACGAACAAACTTTACACTTTTTCCCAATTACAAACAAACCAAGAAAATCTTTGTTTTTTTTTAAATATTTTGGCCAGGAATACAGACATTTTTGATGTGTTTTTCGATCCAAACGATCTATCCCTTTCCTTACTAACCGACTTTACACTTTATTTTCTTCGAGTGATAAATTGTCAAAAACTTGACACTTTTGGTATACTTCTTTTGACAAACAAACTTTACACTTTTTTCCTAATTACAAACAATCCTAGTAAACTTTTCAGTTTCCTTTAATGTTTTGGCCAGGAATACAAATAAACGTACACAAACAACTTTAAACTTGTGTTTCTTCAAATGACCAACAATTCAAACAGACTTTGCTATTTTTCCAATGACGAGCAGTACGAATAACTTTACACTTTTGGAATACTTCCAATGACGAAGAGTTACTAACGGACTCTTTCATTTCCACAAATCATAAACAGTTAAAAAAACTTTACACTTCTAGTATACTTCCTATGACGAACAATACGAACAAGCTTTACACTTTAATTTCTTCAACTGACAAACGGTCCAAACAAACTATGCACTTTTGGTATTTTTCCAATGACGAAGGATACAATAGTGTTTTTTCGAAGATATTTTTTCCAGGAATGCCAATTGGTTTCAAAGTACTATTTTTGTCTATTTAGAGATCGTGAGATGCGGTCTGGTGTGAATCTCACGATCTCTAAACAATCATTAATTGACAGCCACTAAATACCACAGAGTACTATTTTTCTTCAGAGGCCTAACAAACTTTACAGTTTCATGTGATATTTTGTCCAGGATTACCAACTGACTTTACAGTACTATTTTTCTTCCGAGGTCAAACAAACTTAACAGTTTCATGTGATATTTTGTCCAGGAATAACAACTGACTTTACAGTACTATTTTCTTCAGAGGTCAAACAAACTTTACAGTTTCATGTGATATTTTGTCCAGGAATACCAACTGACTTTACAGTACTATTTTTCTTCAGAGGTCAAACAAACTTTACAGTTTCATGTGATATTTTGCCAAGTTGCCAAGAAATAGCAACTGACGTTACAGTACTGTATTTGTTCATATAGAAAATAGCCAGAACCAACTTCACGATTTCCTTTGCTATTTCGGTCAGGAATGCCAACTGGCTTTACAATAATATTTTTTCTTCAAAGTACAAACAAACTTTACAGTATGTTTTCCTTTGGATTATCAGGAACCAAAACTTTCCAGGTTGATTTGTAACATTGATGAAAATTGTAAAATTGCTAAAATTAAAATAGCAAACAAATTTACCAGTAGTGTTTATTTTTGACGAGAAGAAACCGGAGGAGCTGAGCATCGGTTTGTTTAAATTAACAAACAACCGTTGCAGTTTTTTGCTTATTAAAATGACCTGGAACCCAAATGCGTATTTGCCTGTGAAATTATCATTACTGCGTCGTATTAGCAGTATATTTGCCTTGATTAAATGAGCTGTTCATTTCATGTTTTATGGTCGGTTTGAGATCTTACGGGTTTGTCCGTTATAACAGAACGAATAAGTCCGAATGTTCACGTCGGACTCTCACCGGCTTGTGTCGGTGGGGGGGGGGGGATGAGAGCGAGACCGCGCGGACCGGAGGTCCTCAATCCCATCCATCGTTTAACCCGGATTGCATGTAATCAGCGGGTGCGTGGCCGGAGAGCGGATGGTCCGCGGATTGCCCGATGAGGAAGCGCGGGAAAATTGGCGTCGTTTTACGGTGAAAGGGCTACCAGCCGATCGCCGAAAATGGAAAAGCACGGAGGAGCTTTGACGGCGAAAGGTCACCACCTTTTGAGGAAAAGGGGCGGCGATCCGGACTCGTTCGCCTTTTAAACGACTTAATCGGCACCGTTGACAAGTCAACTGTCCAAACTGTCCAGTTTCCACTACGGTGGCCAACTGGACGTTTCGTCAGCTTTACGCTCCGTCCGTAACGTCTACAATTGTCACAAGCTCACACACCCAAGCACACTTCATTACCAAAAAAAGCGTGTAGTTTCAATCTGGACGGATTACTCGCTTCCAACTTGTTTTCGCTTAAAAAAAATATACATTGAGGATGGCTTCCAAAAAATTTTTAAAACATAGTTTTGGTAAGTTCCTAACTATCTTAATTCAAAAGACTGAAAAATTTGTATTATTGTAGGAAACAAGAAAGTTTAAATTATGTCATTTTTGTGAGATTAGCACAATCCCAGAGGACACAATTTGTGAGGTCTGTTGTTTGATGGACCTGAATTTTCAACTTACCGAGAATTTTCGTGTGCCTATGATGTCATGTTCAAAGTATTTAGTGTCCCTCTGAATATGCTAACAAACAAAAGTGTCTGGTGTTTTTTTTTGCATATTATATTTTTATTATTAGACTATAAGTTTGTTCATTCTAATATAAGCTCTGCCAAGTTTGTATTGAACACCGGTTCTTGAAAGAAAACAAAATCTGTAAAGGTTGTTTAGGCTACAGATTACAGATTAATTTGTTTGTATAAAAACAAAATATATACTGTTGTCGCGTCCCTTAGCTTTCAATGAAAACCACGACTTTGTTTCACTGTTAAGAAAACAAAAGCTATATACTTTAAACTTTGGTTGGTCTTTATACGAAAACTGTAAAGTTCGTTTAATCCTTCGTCTTTGTTTTGAAACAAAAAACTGTCAATTTATGTGTCGCTGAGCTGAAAAAAACAACAAAAAACTGTAAAGATTGTGTGATGTCCTAATCCTTGAATGAAAACAAAAACTATGAAACTTTGGCTGATCTACTGGTCTTTATGAAAACAAAAACTGTAAAGTTTATTTGTTAGACATTTTCATGAGAACCAAAACTTCAGTGCGTTTTGTGAAACAAAAACTGGTCCACGGTTTTGTTTAGAAACACAAGCTGCAAAATTGTCTGCTCTCATGTTCTTCGCATGAAAACGAAAACTGTAAAGTTGAAGTGTTTACAAACAAAAATAGAAAAGTTTGTTTAAGCATTAATCTTTGAACGAAAACTGTACAGCTTGTTTGATTTCCCAGCGTTGAATGAAAAGTTGTGTGATTGATTCTGAGCTTTAATGAAATAAAATCTGTAAATTTTGTTTCATTCTAGTCTTTATATGGGAACAAACACTAAAGCTTGTTGAAAACGAAATCTATAAAGATTGTCTGCTATCCTTGCCTTTGGAAAAAACGTAAAGTTTGACCTTCTGGTCTTTGCATGGAAAGAAAAACTGTAAAGTTGTTGTGTGATTCTAAACTGTATAAAAACAAAATCTGTAAAGTATGTTTGACCCTAGACTATGGTCAAACTGTTCAAAAGAAATCTGTAATTTCTCTTGCCTTCCTGTACTTTGGGGATATGTAAAGTTTTCTTTGAACCAAACCTTTACAGTTTTTCTTTCCATGCAAAGACCAGAAGGTCAAACTTTACGTTTTTTCCAAAGGCAAGGATAGCAGACAATCTTTATAGATTTCGTTTTCAACAAGCTTTAGTGTTTGTTCCATATAAAGACTAGAATGAAACAAAATTTTCTAAAAACCAAAAACTGTAAAG